TATCCCTCTCAGCACTACTTCAGCTATATCCATACATTTTGATATACTGTATTTTTCTTTCCATTCAGTTTGAAATATTTTCTAATTTCCCTTGTGACTACTTTGAGCTACATGTTATCTAGAAGTGTGCTGCTTAATTTCCAAATATCTGTTTTTCTAGTTTCCAGATCTTCGTTTTTTATTCATTTCACTGTGACTATAAAACATACTTCATAGTATTCAAACCATCTTAGATGAATTCAGACTTGCATGTGGTCCAATATGCACTCTCTTTTTGTGCACATGTCATGTGCTTTTAGAAAAAAAGGGTATTCTGCTTTCATTGAGTATAATATTCTATAAACATCCACTAGACCAAGTTATTAGTAGGGATATTCATATCATGTAACTGAACAGATATCTCAATCTGTTCTACCAATTGCTAAAAAGGAAAAATCTTCAACTCACTGTAGATGTATCTATTCCTTTCTTAAATTCTACGTGAATGCTTCATTTGTCTTGAATCTTTGTTATTAGGATCTGACTGATTTATGATGATATCTTCCTGGTGTGCTGACTCTATCACCATGAAGAAATGCTTCTCTAAATCTGACAGTATTTCTTTGTCTGTGACACTAAATTGGCCACGCCAGTCTCCTGATGTATATTGTTTCTCTGTGTATCTTTTTCCCACCCAACTTAATTGCATCTCTACAGCAAATTTCTTCTAGAACTTCGCCAGCTGCCCGAGAGCCTTCAATGGGCCTGCCACAACTCCTCTCTCTGCCCTCTCTCCACAGCAGGCACTATCCTGACCTTCATAATAATCACTTTCTTGAGTTTCTTCGTGTCTTTATTTATCAGGTGTACATCCCTAGACATTATACTTTTATCTCTCCCATCTTCAAAACTTGAAATGTCACTTAAAGTCTCTTTTAATCTACAGGTCCCCATCCTCTTTCTTTCTTTCTTTCTTTTCTTTACAATTTGTCTGTTGACAGACTCAGGCCATTTGACCTGTAAAGTTTCCATCAGTCTGGATTTCAGGGAATACACAATCAAGGAACATTTCAGCCTGTCCTGCCATTCTCTGTAAATTGGAAGCTGAATTTAAAGGCTTGATCAGGCTAGATCCCTTAGCAAAACTAGAGGTGGTCTTCTATATTAGAGGGCACATTAATGTTTGGGTCATTTCTCTTTTGATGATGTTAAAGTGACTCAATCCCTAGATCTATTAATTACTGAGGATTGCAGATGATATTCTAGTTCTATCATTTAAAAATTTTATTAGTTAGAATAACTTAAAAATCAGAGATACTTCCTTCACCTATTATTAGGTTAGCCAGTGATAGAGTTCATATAGGAAAGGCAGGATAAATTCTTGGTTATTTTAATCAACAAGTTTCCAGATAAATTTTTTTCCCTATCATCATCTGAACATAACCAAATTTTTAAAATATTATTACTTAATAGCTTTGGCTTTCATATTCCATACTACATATCATGACTAATTAAAAATAACAGTTTTTACTGTTGCTGATAATACTTTCTACCATTTATTGAGTACATATGTACCAAGCATTTTGTCAGACACTATTATACATTATCATAGCTCCACATGCTAAGTTATTAAAACATATATTATCAATACCTTTAACACTGGTTAACTCCATTTGTCTGCCATCTAAAATGCAATTTCACTTTATCTCTAATTATTGTTCAGTAGAGATAATTATAAATTCTGCAATTTAATCAAGTGATGTTAAGCCATTTGCAATTAAAGTGAATCAGTACATATTTATTTTCTTGCTCCTTGACCACAGAAAATATAAATAAAGTGAATTTCTCAAGACAGCATACATAGTTGAGTCTTCCTTTTTTTATTCACTGTGAAAATCTCTGTATTTTAATTAAAATTTTGAGTTTATTTGCATTTAGTACAATTACTGATATGGATTCATTTAGAGCTACCATTTTCTTATGTGTTTGCCTTTCTTCCTCATATATTTCTGTTCCTTTGTTCTTCCCTCCTTACTTTGTTTTTTTTTTAGAATTTTAAAAATGTAATCATTAGTTCCTTGCACTATTTTTTAGTGATACTCAAAGGAAGTACTATCAAATAGAACTTTCAGTGATTACGGAAATATTACATAATCTGAAATGTACAGTATGGTAGTCACTCGCTACATGTATTATTAAGCATTTATGACATGACTAATATAATTGAGGAACTGAATTTTTAACTTAAGTAATATAAATTTACATAGCTACACAAAGTTATTGTCTACCATATTGGGAATAGGGAAGAGGGAGGATAGGGGAGGGCACTGGAATGGAAGTAATTCGTTTAATGTACCTCATTGTATATTGAAATTATAAAATTGTTTTCCCACTGAGAAGACAAAATAAAGTAGACCTCAAAGGAAAAAAGAATCCTTAGGGAATAACATTTAGAGACTAAAAGTTGGGCACTAGGGCTGTTTAATACTATGAGTTATCATTTCTATTTCTATTCAGTATATAGATTAGGAGGCTATACAATATTTTTTAAAGAAAAAATGCCTTAGTTTATACTGACATTTCCAATGCTAAGGCAAGAAGTTAAATAAAATCTGTGAAACCTTAAATCTGAATTAGAAATATTTCCTAGGGATTAAAAATATTGTACCACTTTATATAAAATGTAAGAGACTTGTAATCATATACCCTTATACAATTCCACTGTCCTTTATAGCATAACATATACTATATGTATATGTATATATCATATAGTAATATTTATAATTTCTAAGTACAATATACATCTCAGTATATGTCATCATTTTGTTTTAAAGAGTTATATGCATTTAAAACAAGTTCAAATTTTTTAAAAGTAGACTTTTATATTCACTCATCTATTTTCAGTTCCCTCTTCCCATATTCCCAATATGGGAGACAATAGCCCTATGTCTATTGTCAGTTATCCATCTGGTAGGAAGACCCTCCTTTAGCATTATTTAAAATACAGGTCTGCTAACAAATATTTTCTTCACTTTTATTTTAAAATTTATCTTTTTACGTTCATTATTGAAGTATACTTTTGCTGGATGTAGATGTCTAGGTTGACTATTTTTATTTTTTTATTTTTTCCTTTCAGCACACTAAAGATGTTCTATTATCTTCTGGCTTCCACTGTCTCTAAAGAGATATCAGCAAATTTTTCTCCTAATCCCTGTATACAATGTGTGATTTTTCTAGGGCTTCTATCAAGATTTCCTCTTTATCTTTGTTTTTTTGATAGTTTGGCTCTGATAATCCTTAAGTGGCTTCCTTTCTATTTTAATCATTTTCCTAATTCTCCTTGAGATTCACTATATTTCTCATCCATAAACTTTTATCTTTCAATAAATGTGGGGATTTCTGGCTATTATGTAGTCAAATATTTCTCTTCTTCATTCTCTCTTAAGTATTTCTGGTATTCCAATTAAATACCTTTTGATGTGGTCTCACAGATCACTGAAGTTTTTCCTTTTTTTTCCACTCTCTGCTCTTCAAAGTCTATCATTTCTACTGACCTGTTTCAAGTTCACCATTTCTTCTATTGTGTTTAAATCTCCTGCTAAGCCCATCTAGAAATTTTTATTCCATACGAGTTTTTTTTTTAATTCTGGAACTTCTATCTGATTGTTTTATATAGTATCTGTGTCTCTGTTGTGATGCCTAATTTGTTCATTCATTATAAGCATATATTCCTCTATATTCTATTTATAAGGACTGCTTTAATATACTAACTTCTTCATTTTACAATCTCTATTAGCTGCCTTTTTCTTGAGTATAAGTCATATTTCCCTTTTTCTTCATTTGTCTAGTAATTTTCTTTTTTATTTCAAGAGCTTTGGAGGGTACAAATACTTTTTGTCTGGGCTCTAAGCGTACTCACCAGTACACTGAACCCATATACAGGTGATTTTTTGACCCTCCATCCCATCCCCCAACTCCCTTCTGAGTCTCCAATGGCCATTACACCGGGGTCCCCAACCCCCGGGGCCATGGACCGGTACTGGTCAGTGACCTGATAGGAACTGGGCTGCACAGCAGAAGGTGAGCACTGGGTGAGTAGAATTCTGCCTTTTTTTTTTTTTGAGTCAGAGTCTCACTGTCACCCTGGCTGGAGGGCAGCAGCATGCTCATGGCCACCCCACTGTCGACCTGCTGGGCTCCAGCGATTCTTCCATCTCAGCCTTTCAAGCGTCCCAGCACTCCAAAGGACTGCATCTTCTCCCTGCCCACACTTCCTTCAAACATTCTTGACTCTTTTCTATTGGACTTCAACGAAAGGGTGAGAAGTTTCCTGGATTTTTGTTTTAGTTGGTAGGCTTTTGTTGGTTTCCGTGACTTGTTTGTTTTTTGGTTTATGCCTGGTACATAATTACTCTTTATGAAGGGAGGAAAACTCTAATAAAAATAACCTAATACTATGTGCGCAGCCATAAAAAAGAATGAAACCATGTCCTCTGCAGCAGTATCGAGGGCGTTGGAGAGCATCATCCCAACTAGACTGACTCAGAAACAGAAAACCAAACGCCACATGTTCTCACTTACGTGTGAGAGCTAAATGGTCACAAACACGGACATAACAGACACTGGGGACACCAGTTAGGGAGAAGGCGGAAAGAGGGGTCAGGGTTCAGAAAGTATCTGTGATGCACAACATTCACTATCTGGGGAACAGGCTGCCTGAGACCAAATTCCCACCACTACACAAATGTACATGTAACAAACATGCATGTGTAGCCCCTTTAAAAAATGAAAACAAGGAAAAAGATCCTTGCAAAATAGCATTCCCAAAGAACACTGGTATTTCTATTGTTCACTAAATCTGTTCTGAAAATAAAAAACGTTTGGAAATAAAAAAGGGAGAAAGTTAAACTTACAGTCTTTCTATTGACCACAGATAAAACCTGGATGAAGTCAGATACATTTTTTTCTGTGAGATACATTTCAAACTTATATATAATGGGTTAAACCAAATCACTTCTTACCTTTTGACAGCTTCGGTCAATGGGATCCACGGGAGTTGATCTGGGATGGGTTACTCTAACATCATCTCTTCCATACTCCAGGCTGGACCACAATTCACTCAGAAGTCCAGTAATAAACCCTGAGAAAAATTACTCCTTTATGTCATTATAGCATAATATTTATTTTGATTATGAAGGAAAGGTCTGAGCATCCCTTTGACCAAACTGGTCTACTCTGACATACTTGCATCTTACAAAAGAAATAATCTTGACTCTTTGTAGAAAAAGATACCTCCTATTGTTGATATACTTTTATGATTCCTAATTATCATAAGACTCTAACGACTAAGTTCCGAGAGATTATTCCCCTGGAGGACTGCTGAATTTTTTTTTTTTACTTTTTTTTTTTTTTTTTTTGAGTTGGAGTCTCACTCTGTCGCCCAGACTGGGAGTGCAGTGGCCGCTCCCGGCCACCGCAGCCTCGACCTGCTGGGCTCTGGTGATCCTTCCGCCTCAGCCTTCCAAGTAGCCGGAATTACAGGTGCGCACTACCACACCCGGCTGATTTTTTGATTTATTGTAGAGATGAGGTCTCGCTGCCCAGGCGGGTCTCGAACCCGCGGGCTCAGGCAATCCACTCACCTCAGCCTCCCAAAGGCGCGGGATTACAGGCTGAGCCACCGAGCCCGGCTGGACTGCTGAATTTTAAGTCCCAGCTTTGATCTTTTGGCCAATAACGTCTCTGAGCGCGTTTTTCCGAAACATGATGTGGTTTACACTTTGCTGGGCAAACAAGCCAACAGTATAAGAAGCCTGAAAGGCTGTGTGTTTAGGAGGTTGGAGGAGGAGAGAAGGAGGTATCAGGAGGCAGACACAGCATCCAAAGAGAATAGATACGTTCCTTTATTCCAATATAACTACTACTGTCTTTCAAATTCCGTAAGCTTAGAACAATTCTGCACTTCACACATTTTTACCTCAAAATAGTTTTTAAGTTCTCTTGAGTCAGACATTATATGACTAAATAAAAATGAATATTAAACCTGATCATTGAATTCTTCTATGAAAAATCAAAGCATACAGAAAAGCATAAAAACACAACATCTAATCATGAAATATGTAAGTTCATGAAGAAAATATTAGAGCAGAAAGGGCCTTCATATAACAGAAAAAAAAATGGGCTCTAAATCAAGAATATCAAAGTTCAAATTGGAAATCTGCCAGTTTATTAGTTGTACGTCCTTGGAAAACTCTCTTGACTTCTTAGAGTTCCAGTTATCCCATTTGAAAACCAAAAGAGTTATGCTACGTTCCAGGACCACACATGAAGTATGGATAGGATGATGTATGTAAAGTTCCTAACACGGTATTTCTGAGGTGTCAAGGGAGCTCAAGCAGCAGGAGTCTTCCTGCTCCTGGCCTGTGAAAAACTGCATTTCACCCTCTCATGAAAGGATTGATGCTATGAGATGCAGAAGCGTAATGACTTGGCCAAGGATATCGTCTGAAATTAATTCTAGTCTCCAAATGCTTCAATTCATGTGCCCTGAAAAACATACTATGTGGACTTTACCCTAAGTAGGAAAAAAATTACTGGTCCATTTTGGAACAATTTTTTACCAAAGAAACGTATCTCATAATACAGTTGTCCAAATTCAAGTTCAGCCAAAAAATAAATTTAAAACACAGTGTAGGAAAATGTTTTCATTTAAGGAATCAGCAATGATCACTGACGTTATAATTCAATTCTAAGCCTTAAAAAATATTATCATGGCATGTCTATTAGGGATTATATCTTGTTCAGATCTCAGATAATCTTAACATATGACATATTAAATTCCCAGTGTTTCAACTTCTTACAAATCCAATTGATAGTGAAGAATACATTACTGACTGCCAACTTCAAAGATAGCATGAAAGCTAAGTGGTGAGAAAAATGCTCTCAAGAAGGAAAAAGGAAAAAAGGGAATAAGAAAATGGTATATATGTGAGATAAATATTTACTAGTGCAAATTTTGACGCATATATATAAGCCACTGAAATGAGCATTAAGTAATCCTATCAGACAGGATTATACTGAGAGAGGATAATATACTTCTAATTTAGAAAAGAGAAGGATTCTTAAAGTATGAAGTACATCTCTGTTTAGTTCATTATTTGCCATTGTTCTGAGGAAGAAGAACAAGGGTGTACATATTTCATACCATAAACACAAAAAAAATCTTACTGGAATTTCATGGAAGAAGAAAGAAAAAAGGAAACTCTGTAACCTTCTTTTATTAAAAAAGTCTTTACATATAAACTTTTATTTTTATACACAATAAAAATTTAAAAATAAAAATAAACAGACTCTAATCATGAGGGAACAATCAGACAAATCCAGAATATGGGAGAGTCTAGAAGACAATCTGAGTGCATACAAAGTGCAATATCATTTAAAATAAGTAAAAATGGGCAGCAAAGTGGTGCTACCTATAGATTAAAAGAGATGGACATGGGGACCATCAAACTATAGCCCTTAGGCGAATCCAGTCTGCTGCCTGTTTTTGTAAATAAAGTTTTACTGGAGCAAAGCCCCCCACTCATTGCTGGGCATGACATCTAGAGCTGCCTGTGCACCACAGCAGCAGAGGTGAATATTATCAACAGCGACTGTATGACCCACAAAGCCTAAAACAGTCGCCCCCCCCAACAGTCCCTACGCATAAAAAGTTTCCTGACCATGTACAATGACTTGAGACCAGTTCAATAACCGTGCACATCTGGAGAAAAAAAAAGTTTCCTGACGGTTTCGGTTAAACAGAAGCATTTGTATAGGTACGAAGAGGTCTGGGCTTTCAGTGTGCCAGTCACCCTCTCCATGCACTGCACCCAAGAGGCAACTGACATCCCGCATGCACCGCCCCCCCTCCCCCCCCGCAAGTCTCCATCATCCACTGACCCATTCCACATGCCTTTGCAGATCCATGGCTTAGCTCCCACTTCCAAGCAAGAACATGCAGTCTCTTCTTTTGCATCAGGTCTGACTTGGGAAAGAGAACTTCAGAGTAATCCTGATACATGACCTTGCCAGTTAAGTGTTTCGTTGGTTTGCTCGCTTTATTTAAAGCAATTCTAACTCTGGAAAAAAAACTTACCAGAATCTCGCAGGGCTGTGGCTCCTACTGCTGTTGACGCCACTTGTGTAACCAAAACTCCATAGCCCGATGTTTTCTGCCTGCTGACCTAACAACACCAACGAGGAGCAGCAGTGAGAAGCAAGAAGGCACAGCATGGTCATGCGTCATTCATGTTATGTGCAGAGTTACCAGGCTTTTTAAAAAAGATTAGAAGGCCAACTATTTCTTCAAGATGATAAGAACAGCAAAAACAAAGGAAAACATTTTTAAAAACATATCTAAGATCCTAAAATGTCCAAAAATCTAGAGGTATTTATTAGGACAGAAAAATAAATCTGAATCCAACACAGTGGCCTTTGAGGAAAGGCTAAATTACATTGCAAATTTTATTTAATAGTAGAAATAGAATTCCTCTACAAATATTTTTTTCCTCTTAAAGCATGAGGCCTAAACCTTCATTGACAGATACATTTAGACCCAGTAGGATTCCTTCTCTAGAAGTTCCACTAGTATATCCAGATATTTGATATCACATTTATTTATAAAACACCTGAGTGACTAACTGAATTTTTCAATTCCATCTGGTTTCTTGCAATTCTGTAAAGACAGCAAGAGACATAAGATCAACTAACCTTTTCCTTAAAAAAAAAATCAAGTTAAATATTACAATGCTATGTGGTTTTTTTTCTTTTATTTAGACTTAATAACTTCTTCATGCACAGAAAATAGAGTGATGTTCTTAATGGCTTTTAGAACAAAAAAAAATTCCTTTTGCCTGTGGCAGATGGCAATTCATACCTGTAATTTTTTTGCATATTGGTTGAACATAAACGTCACACATTCATTGATAGCACCTGTTCTTTGAAGAAGCAATAATCCTTTGGGGGTGGCAGCAAAATGTAGTAAATCATCTAACAAATTCTCTTCCCAAGCCATACTAAAACAGGTAAAAGAAAAGGTAGAACTTTCTTTAGTATACTAAAAATTGAAATGAAAAAAAAAACTCAATACTGTTGACAATTAAATTTATATAGTGCAGATTGGCTGCAAAAATATAAATAAATGTTTATAAATGAGATAAAAAGTCTTGTTTCTTTGGTAGTAAATTATTTTATTCTTAGATCTTTTATGCCATTAATTTTTCTTCCTGAATAAACACCTGCATATGTCAGCAGCTTATTACACCTAGGTACTCTCATCAATGCCTTAATTTCATTCTATTTTCCTATTATAATTCTGCTGTGAAACCTTTGGATTCCCTAAGCCTCCGCTCTCTATTATTTCTGTCCTTTCTTTTCATTATAAATCATCTATCTTCTGACTTTCAAAAGCACGATCATGTTATATCTTTCTCTAGTTTCATAATTGGGGAATGACTTTTTTCTTCTCAGAACACTTCTATAATGAGGCCAACAATTCACTAGAGGAAAAACTCATAAGCGCTCCAAGAGAATAAAATGAGAGGAGTATGTGAAAACCATTATACTCCATAAATATACACAATTATTATTTGTCAATTAAAAATTTTAAAATACTGAGAATTTTCTAGAATTGAGGAAAGATGCCATTTCAGTCTATAGATTAAAAGATCACTCAAAGTACCAAACAAGAAATCATACAGAAAGAGCAAACATCAAAAACCAAAAAGTTTAAAGGCTATCAGAGAAAAGATATGATCTATATAAGAAATGTGATTATACCCACAACAGATTTATCACTTACCATCTATTACAGAAAATAATGAAGTAATAGCTTCAAACACTAATGGTGTGAATTGTCTACCTAAACATTTATACCCAGATAAACTGCTATTTAAGAATAAGAATGTGTATGTGTATTCCTGTGGTCAGAAGAGAGAACAGAAATTTTCGATAAAAAGATAAGGAAAATTTACTACCTTCAAATCTTAAAAAACAAAGAGAAACTAATTATGTTTGGAAAAATATAAGTGTAATTCATCCAAGAAAAAAAAAAGTAAGGGCATCAGAATGTCAACAAATTAACACTTGACCTTGTGAAGAAATAAATAAGCTGACTGACAAATGACTAAAGTATGCTAAAACTCATGTTGCATTTCAAAATCTGATGCAAATAACAAATTCCCTTTTATTTTCTTTTTTAAAAGACATCTTAGGAATAACCAAAAAGAAATAAAAAATACAACTTCTAAGTCCAAAACCAGAAAGGAAGGCAAAAATAGAAATAAAGAAAATTTATCCCCTAACATAAGGAAATAAAGGAGGAAAAAAGCAAAGAAACCAGAACATAAATTTAAAAAACACAAAATAAGAAAAATAAGCCCATACATATCAGTACTGCAAAAATATTTTTAAAAATCTGATGCCACCTAATAAAAAAATTTAAAGATTGGACAAAAATATAAAATTCGCTACTCAGAATGATAGAAAGTAAAAGGAATTAGGGAGAAAGGAAATTACGTGTAACTGGTAATAATGATTGACTGACCCAACCCCTTTTCACCAACACCCATCCAGCCAGAGGTGGACTTACGACAAAAATACATACATAAATAAATAATCGAACGAGAAGAGGTTCCGCTCCTAAATAGAAAACAAGCCATCATGAAAAGAAAGCACTTGGCTTTATGACTTTCCTCTTGGTAAGGAGTCATGAATCGAGGGGAGCCAGCCACTGTGCAACCCTGAGGACAGAAATCGCACACTGATGAAGGAGATCGAGAAAAAGGAAGGCCGGGACCCCCAGCGAGCAAATGGGTCTTTTCCCCAACGGACTGACCCTGAACTAAATCACAAAGTGAATCCAACCACCCTCAGAAAACACATAGCACACAATCCAAGTTCTCCAAAAGGAATATACACGTCAACAACAGAACATTTTCTCAAGAAACTATGTCTGGAAACTAAAACCACATCCCGAATATTTTATGAATTGAACTAACGAAAAATAGAAACTTCAAGAAATACTTAGAACAGCTTAATAATGGAAGCGTGACATACCAAGACGCAGGAAGAGGATGGCTCCTGCAGACTGCTCCGTTCTCCATCCCCTCTCCCTTACCTTCCTCTCCTGTCAAGGCAGGGAGGGAGGGAAAACGGGAGGGAAGAAGGAGAGAGAACATGCACCAGACCAAAGCCTAGACTACGAAAACCAATGCAATAGATCGGTCAAGGCGGGGAGACAGGGGAAAAAATAATAACGACAACAGGTTTTCAAAGCTGAAGGAGGATCACTGCTTCTTTGGGGGAGAGGCAATGACAAGACTCACACTGCCTTGGCAGCTTGAAGAATGCCATTATTTGAATGTCTGGACATTACGGTGAATTAGAGACCCTTGCGGTAATTTTCTAGTGTCTGGTTACTTTGGGATCATAAGGGAAGTTTGGCAGACCCAAGAATCTTTCTGTTGCTTCACGTTCCAGGCTGACCCAAGGCCCCTTAATAAGGTCTTCGGCTGGGGTGGGCCTTCTGTCTTATGTCTTCCTCTGTGATTACATTCTTCTCTACGAGGACCCTGATGATGGGCTCACATAACTTACGGTCGCTTTGTGGTCTTGTTGTAACTTCATCTGGCTTTTGACTCAATGTCTAAATTTAAAGGACATCAATCCCCTATGATAACTATATAAAAGTTTCTATCTTTTTTATAGTATTGTAAGTACCTATAAATAGAAGGACAAACGGGGGACCCCTAAACTAAGTTACAAGAAAATACAAGATCAAAATGCTGAACACTGTTTTGTCAGAGGCACAAAAATGCTCAATTAATTTTAACAGATTACTCTTAGTTTTTCTTTGATCATATCAGTCTAATCATATCTTACTATGAGTGCTGTTTAGAAATTAGAGTCTTCCATCTTGAAAGAAGACATGTGAGCAGCCAACAGATACACGAACAAATGCTCTCAGCCTCACTAGTAATCAAAGAAATGCAAATCCAAGCCACAGAGAGATACCACCTAACCCCAGTCAGGATGGCCATCATCAATAGCTCAAAAAACAACAGATACCGGAGAGGATGCGGCGAAAAGGGAAAAGTTCTACACTGTTGGTGGGAATGTAAGCTCATACTCTGAGAAAAATGGTGTGGTGATTACTAAAAGGTCTAAAAATTGGTCTTCCACATGACCCAGCAATCCCCCTTCTGGGAATATACCCAGAGTAACTCAAATCACTCTAAGAAAAAGACACCTGCACACAAATGTTTATTGTAGCATTATTCACAGCAGCAAAAACATGGAACCAACCGTGTTGCCCATTGAAAAGGGACTGGATAAAAAATGTGGTACATATACATGACGGAATATCACACAACCATAAAGCAGGACAAAATTATGAACTTCACAGCAACCTGGGTGGACTTAACAGTCTATAATACTGAGTGATCTATCACAGAAACAAAGCACCGAGTAACACATGTTCTCACTCATAGCGGACCTTGAACAATTATCATCATACTGTAAGAAAAGAACTGGCAGTAGCGGGAAATGGCGGGGGTGGGGGTGCCAGAGGGCAGCACTGGCAGTAGTGAGAATCTGCCGGGGGAGGGGAGGCACACCTCATCCACAAGGGCACCTGCATTTGCACACCTAACCCTGAATTATGCCCCACATCTTTAAAATAAAAAATCAGATTAAATAAAAAGAAGAAATTAGAGCCCTGGGTTAGGAGTAGTCGTGTACATTAATTCATTCACTCATTCATCCAAAAGTTGCCAGGTGACTGCTTTGTGCTGGCTAGTCTAGTAAACTGTTCCAGATGGTTTTATAGCAAGTTTTTCCAAACAATCAAGGAAAAAATAATGCCCATATCATACCAGCTATTTCAATTAAAGAGAAAGAAGAAAAGACACTCAACTCTTTCTATATGGTAATTTTAACTTTAATGACAGAAGTAACAGTTCTGACTTTAGTTTATCAAAAACTTTTTAAAACCTTTTGTTTCTACAATACATTTATATGAGATGTTGGGGAATCTCCTTTCCCCTGGCATCAAGGCTCCATGTGGCACGCAAGGTCTGACAAGTTCGCGAATTTTCCTCCGTGTGCTTATGTTGGCAGCACTGCACAAACAAATCAGAAAGGCTCACACAGCACTGTCTGTGAGGGAGTCTTTGGTATATCAGTGTCTCACAGCTGTGTTTGTGTACAAGTGTGGCGTTCATTAGTGTTGTTGCATATTCTTTTGTGTGCCACCATGAGAATGTTGGAGCTTGAATTAGAGCAACCAACAAACATTACATTTCTTGTTAAACCTGACAAGAATGGACGCGAAATCAGGATCATGTTAGTACAAGTTTATGGGGATACTGCCATGAAAAAAAAATGGCACTGAACTAATGAATTAAATGTTTTTCTCAGGGGAGACAAAGTGTCACTGATGAACAGAGGTCAGGATGGCCAGTAACAAGCAGAACTGACAAAAGCACTGCAAAAATTCACTGAAAATTGTGTCAAAAGTATTAGCTGACTGTGAGAAGCATAGCAGAGCAAATAAACATCAACAGAGAAACAGAAAAAAATCTTAACTGAAACTCTGGGCATGAGAAAGCTCTGGGCAAAAATGGTCCTGAAGGAGTTCTTGCATCATGACAATGCACCAGCTCACGCAGCACTGTCTGTGAGGGAGTCTTTAGCCAGTGAACAAATAACTGTACTGGAACACTCTCCCTACTCCCCTGATTTGGCCCCAATGACATTTTTCTCTACCCAAAGGTAAAGGAAATAGTGAAAGGAAGACATTTTGATGACATTCAGGACATCAAGGGTAATACAATGACAGTTCTGATGGCCATTCCAGAAAAAGTTCCAGGACTGCGTTGACGGGAGACTAGGTGCTGGCATCGATGTATAGCTTCTCAAGAAGAGTACTTCAGAGGCGACCAGAGTGATATACAGCAGTGAGGTATGTAGCCCTTTTTCTAGGATAAGTCTGTGGACTCAACAGTCAGACCTCGAACATCTCCTGGTCTGACACTGCTTATTTCTTCTCACTGAATCACGTAGTCTTCCCTTCCCGAGGAAAAAGAAGTCTCAGAGACTTAGAAGACAACCTACGGTTGCTCGGCTAAGCAATGCCTTTCCTGCAGCGCACTTCCTTTGTGGAATCCGGCTATCAGTAGGAACTTAGCTACCATGTGGCTAAGTTGGACGGCCTAAGTGTTTGCCTTTGAGGGAAACATGTCTGTCCACTGACGATGGTGACTAAATCAAACCAGTCTAATTCTTGAGACCAACATTAGAAAAACTATGTTATTCGGTGTTTCGATTTGTTTGACCTCTTGATCTCTGTTCATTGGTTCAGAACTCAGGAGAGAAGGAGTCGAGTAAAACTGATTAGATAGGGACGCACATAGACTCAAAGTTAAAGGATGGAAAATGAGTTTCCAGGCAAATGGATAACAAAAGGAGGCAGAGTTGAATATTAATATCAGACAAAACAACCTTTAAACTATCAAAAATTTTAAAAGATGGAAAAGGAAACTACATAATGATAAAAGGTTCAATCCATCAACAAAAAATATCCATCCTAAACATACATGCAGCCGGGCTCGGTGGCTCAGCCTGGAATCCCACGCCTCTGGGAGGCTGAGGTGAGTGGATTGCCTGAGCCCACAGGTTCAAGACCCGCCTGGGCAACTTGGCGAGACTTCATCTCTACGTACTCAGAAGACTGAGGCAGAAGGATCACCAGAGCCAAGCAGGTTGAGGCTGCAGTGGCTGGGAGCGGCCACTGCACTCCAGTCTGGGTGACTGAGTGAGACTCCAACTCAAAAAAAAAAAAAAAAAAAATACATACACCCATATATGTTTCATATATTTCACGAGATATATATATATATATATATTTCATATATTTCATGATAGTAAAAACATGGAACCAACCACGTTGCCCATCAAAGCTGGACTGGATTAAAAAAAAAAATGTGGTGCATATACACAATGGCATATTAAGCAGCCATAAAGAAGGACAAAAATATGGACTTTGCAGCTACTTGGATGAATTTAAAGTCAGTCATACTCATTGATCCATCACAGAAACAAAGAACAGTGTACCACATGTTCTCACTCACAAGCGGACCTTGAACAATTATCATACTATAAGAAAGGGACTGGCAGGAGTGGGAAACTGCCAGAGGAGGGGGTGTCGGATTGGCAGCTGGGGGAAACTGCGAGGGGAGGGAGGGGCACACCTCATCCACAAGGGCACCTGCATAATCAACGTCTGTATCCCTAACCCTGAATTTTACCCCACATCTTTATAATAAAAAATAAATAAATAAACGGATTAGTTTGCTCACATTCTCACATCAGACTCTAAAACCAATACTGACACTAAAATACATTAAGTGCATTAATCACATCCCCTCTCACTTCTAGCCTATTGACCATATATATATTTCTTCCACCTGGAATAACAGTCTCATCCACTTTTTCACAGTTAATATCCATATATTCATTATAACTTAGTTTGACAATGACTTCTGAGAAGACTTCCCCCACCCGTTGGCTCCCAATGGACCCTGCATACCCATATCATATACATTTAGAATACTATACTGCTATGCTGAATTTATTTATTTATTTGTATTCTACAATATGTTTTCTAAGGTCCATGTGCATCTTTGGAACTCAGTAGTGCAGTTGGTTCAATAAATAATTGAGTAAGTAAATAGAAAATGAAAGCATAAAAATGAAAATGTGACAACCCATAGTAGAGGATTTCAAACTAAAGAAAACATCTAAAAATTGCCTCACAAATAAGTTGCAGAAATGTTTTTTATCACCCTCTCCATACAAAAAAAAAAAATGTTGAGTCATGTATGTGACAACTATATTAGAAAAAAATATAAAACAAACGTTCAAGAATTCACTATCTGTTGAACCATTACACTGTTAAGGAAATGCAGAAGGCTTTTTGTTTGATTGTTTTTAAGTTCAACAACACTCACCTGAAAACAAAATTCAACTTCAACATCTCTTTAACAAAGAATAAATCTTAAAGTTCTCCCTAATTATTATCTTCTTAGACTATGTCAACACTCAGTTACAAAATAAGAAGAGGATCCAGGAACATATGTCACCAGATTTTAGTCTTAAAAAAAAAAAAAATTCCCCCATGAATATGACTCCATATCCTATTGATAATGGTAAAGAAACATGAAGCCAACTTAATTAAAATCTGATATAAATATTGATTTAAATAGTTTTCCAATGCCAAAACCTAATAAAATGCACTCTCACCATATTCTGAAAAATCATATTTTAAATACAAATGGACCTCACTGATACTTGAAAATATTTTATCTCCACTAAACTCCCCAGAAAGCTTTCCAATACTAGTATTTGATAATTCTCCAAATTTTCTGGAAACACTACAATATGTCAGGTTTCCTAATCCAAAATGTAAACACAGGATGAAGCAAGTATAATAAATATTACTAGATTTTTTTTAAAGATTACAAGTATCAAATGATCTCTAAAGTACTAAACTGGAATTTTCCTAGAACCTATATGTACACATTACCTTCCTATAAAACATTTTTGCTGCAATATTTTATTACATGTTAACAATTTTATATTTCTTTTAGAAAACAGAATAAGCAGCAAATGACTGTAACCAATTATACTTACATGTTTTGAGATTCCTGGCTTACTAAAGAAACAGAATCAGCACCCTCTACTGGAGTAGGAATTCTTTCTAACAGCAAACTTGTCTAAAAAATAAGAAATTAATTTATATTATTATTTTTCTTATTGACAGCATACCCATAACATTGCTTACACCACATTTTGGCTGTTTTATCCTTAATGTAGTTAAAATCAAAATCAAGTTATCTTCAAATTTCCAATTATTTGACTGTCAATTAAATATTGTATAAAGTGGCCAGGCACAGTGGCTCATGCCTGTAATCCCAGCATTTTGGGAAGTCAAGGCAAGAGGATTCCTAGAGCCCAGGAGTTCGAGACCAGTCTAGGCAACATAGCGAGGCCTTATCGCTACAAAAATAAAAAAGTTAGCCAGGCATGGTAGCACGTGCCTATAGTCCCAGCCTCGCGGGAGGCTGAGGTAGAAGCATCGCCTGAGTCCAGAAGGTTGAAGGTGCAGTGAGCCACGATTGTGCCACTGCCCTCCAGCCTAGGTGACAAAGTGAGATCCTGCCTCAACAAAAAAAAAATTGTGTATTTATAAATAAGCCATGTAAAATAGAGACGAAATAATTAGTAGCCCACTGATACGCACAATGCATGGTGATTGCTACATTATGATCTCTAGTTTCCACAACAAAAAAGCTATCTCTAAAAACTGCACAAAAATAACTTCCAAAGAGGTGCATTCGTCTATGCAAAGAAAATCTATCTCAGGCCTCTTCTTCTCCAAGAAAAGAATCTGCAAGACCCATTCAGAACTTTGTCCCACTGAGAGAGATCCGAGATGTTGAAGCCATCCTGTGCCAAATTAAGAACTTCATGTCCCCTAGAGGACTGTGACGCCAAAGAAGCCACTTTTCCCAGTAAAACATTTCATACAGAGTTCAATACGACAGTGGTGCCTGCATCTGAAATAAAGATTTTCGGGGAAAGAGAAAACTTGACAACACTTACCTTCTTCCACGCCTCTGCTATGGATTCGTGCAAACCATAAGGAATTAACACCTGCAAGCCTTCGCACGTACTATATATTTGACGGCACACAGAAATATAAGCTCCTTTAACCAGAGGCAACATTTCCGATCCCGAAATCAGAGAAATATCTTCATCAAGAAGTTGTTTTGAAAACTGGGCAATTACATGAGCACCTGTAAGACTAAAAGATGACACCCACAAGTGATTCCAAGGCCACATAATCTTGACTCCGTGAGGCCCCACAAAAAACCTAGTCTTGCTATAAAGCCACTCCCTCTGCGTGGCTCCCCTGCAGTCCTCCTCCTGCATTTCTCAGACATGCCAATACTTCCGCCCCCACCCTGTGCAAATGTCTAGTAATCAGAGCAGTTTCCGTGGAATGAAGGACAAAATACATAGATGGGGAAAAACAAACTATTCACTTAAATGATTATAGACACCACAGGGGCCATGACCACATAACAAAAGCATTCCCAACTCTACGGTGAAAACCTAATCCTAACTCCTCCATGCTTGACACATTTTGCATCCCATTAACAGGACTTCCTTCCCTATCTCAAAGGCTGAGAGTTTTTAATAGTAACAATAGATAAGTAATAATAGCAGACAAGTAAAAACTTGATAAATGTTGATAATGTGCCAGGCACTGTTCTAAGTATTCCAGATGTGTTAATTCACTTAATTCTTACATAACCCTATGAGGCAGACACACTGTTACTCAGTGTTCACAGACAAGGAAAAGCAGGCAAACCCTACAGAAGTGAAGTACCTTGCACAATATCACACAGCTAACAAGAGGCAGAACCAGGACGCAAGCCGGAGCTGTCTGGTTCCAGAGCAGCACACCTTGAGCTATTTCTTGCTAGTTTCCTTACTCCTTTTTCTAAATCAAACTTAAAATGCAGACATACAACAGACCGAATAAGGAGCTGAACTGCTATGTACCCCTCACCCATCCGCCCCTCACCCATCTTCAACAACTGTGGACATTCTTCCAGCCTTCTTTTCTTTCTCTATTCCCTGATCATCCTCCCTGCCACTAACTTGAGTATAAATCCCAGACATGTGATGTCACTCAGGGTACATCTCTAACTGATCAAAGTTTCTACTTCCATTGCCAATATCCCACCTAACAAAACCAATTACGACTTCTTAATACCATCTTTTAGCCCGTATCGGAATTCTCCTGATTGTCTTCAAGATTTATTTTTACAGTAGGTTTTCCCAAATCAAAATTCAAACAAGTTCAACAGAGTACACAAGACTATGGTTATTTCGGCCCTACTTTTCTTCCCTATGTCGCTGATTTGTTGGAGAAACTTATTTTTCTGTATTTGAATAACTGCTTCACCACGATGTCATTTAACTTATTTCTCAAGTTTCCTATGTTTCCCATAAAGTGATCATCCAATCTCGCGGCTCAACTAGATGTAAGTTCCATTTCTTTTATCTCCTTCCCTTTCCTTCCTGGGTAAAGTGACTTCTGAGCTGGCTGCTGCTGTATACTCCCCGCTCCTTGAAGCAGGGACCTGACTTCCCAGTTTTCGTGGTACTGGAAACCAGCGGTCAGATGATGTCAGCCTGGCCTCTCCAGTGGGCAGCCAGTCAGCCATGCACCTTGAGATTTTGGCATCTATTAAAGATCACTTCCTAAATCTGTTATTTCATTAAGGACTGCCAAACGGCGATGTTCTAATCAGATAATTCATTTTCTAGTTGTTAGCTAGAATTCTCCTGTGAAGAACTTTTTCTCAGTAACTTTTTAGCTACACTAAAATACAGTTTGTATAAGAAAGGCTGAAAAATCTTTAACATCTTTAAAAATCTTCAAATCTTTATTTTCTATCAATGTGTAAAGTAATGAGCTGGTGTCCTAGCAACCTAAACAGATAGCTGATAAAGTTTATTTTTTGCTTAATTCGTTTTAACCTTTCCACACCTATGGTTTTTTTTTTTAAGTAGAAAGAAGTAAAGTTTATTATTCACATTTCACAGAATGGAAAGGAGGCCGACACTCAGAGGCAAGTGTGGCCTCAAACCTAGGTATTTTTATATACTTTAGGTATTTCAATATATGGCAGTAATTATATTTTTGATTCCCAAGCTGTGCAGCAGGAGGTCCCTTCTGGTTAGCTCAGAGGTACTTTTGACACGCTCTCATTGGAAATAGATAACTTCTTTGCTTTCTAGGTTCCTATAGGCTGAAAAGAGGCCATTAAATTAGAATAGTTACTTAGAAAATACTTTAAAACTTGTATTCTTTTGTAGCCAAAGTGATGCGCTAAATGTAAAAGCCGCCTGGATTCAAAAGGGCACCTTTTCCTACTGCTGCCCACCCCCAACCGCAGACCCACAGCCTTGCCCAGCTGGCCCAGCCTAGCTGGTAGCCATTGCTGTGTTTTAAAACAATTATCTTAAATTATTGTCTTAAATGTTATGATTTTCCCTCCTTCCAAATATCGCCATTGTCTGGCCCTTCCTCTAAAAAAATAGTAAAAGAACACATTGTGAATTCCACAATGTCACCTAAAATGTCAGCATGACTAGGAGACTCTGTGTCATGTCAGTGGACATGTATCAAAAATTGCTAATGTAAACCTTGAACCATACTAAAACTGCACGTAGGTTTCAAATTCAGGGTGGGTAGAGGGCTACGAATTTGGGGTATAAATCCTGGAAAGAGTCTGTGTTGCTTCGAGTGGGATTTCTGGCAAAGGTGCCAACCCTCCCTATAATCTGGTTACAGAAATCAAACACTCCCTTTTCTCCCAGTCTCTGCCTCGAAGGATAGCAGCCGAGGTACTGGATCAGGCCGTGACAGAATGGTAAGCTATCCCAGGATCATCCTCCGTATTTTCTGGACCAGATCCAGAATAAGCCATTTTGTCAAGGATTCCTGCTTCTTTTTAGAACAAAAAGACATTGAGAGACCACAATACAAATGGTAGCTCATTGTTAAGAAGTTGCCAATATATCTAGGCCTTCTCAGTGGTAGTGCTGGGAGTAATAGTAATTTAAGAAGAAAAAAAGCTAACAATTGTATCTCTATCTTGAATTGAAGATTTAGGTTTCTTATTTAACTTCTGTAATGCATGTTTTTGTCTTTTTTTCTCCTATGTTGAAAATCTTCATTCCTTATGACACAGTTACTTATTTTCCCTATTACATTTATGCATAAAAGCAACACCAATATTACTTCTAAACATATACTAAAAGCAGTTTAAGATAACTTAAACTTTATTGATTATTGAGGATTTTTTTAACCTCAAAATATATTCTACTAGAAATTTTCAGCCAAAACTAGATAATTTGAAGTAACTCTTTTCTCTGCATGGGTATGTCACTAATTTGATTGATTGACAGTTAAATTTGCTTATCAATTTGCTTGAAGTTTTTAAAAACTGCTTTCCTTTCGGATTTAACTTTGCTTTACATTAAGTATGTAAGCAGGAATATGATTCCAAAGTCAAATCTAGGCACAATCAATGCATAATCCCAGGCCATGTTCAGTGGCTAACTTCTGTAATTCCAGCCCTTTGGGAAGCAGAAGGATTGCCTGAGCCCAGGAGTCCAAGACCAGCTTTGGCAACACAGTGAGACCTCGTTTCTATTATCAATAGATAAATAAATAAATGTTTGTAGAATACCAGATACCCTATTTTCACACTTGCCTATCCACATTTTTCTCTTCCCTCCCCTAAAATTAATATTTTCATTACTTTTCAGGGCGTCCATTCATCATTCTTTTTTTAAATGTAAAGAAATATGGTCCATTCGCATTCCTTTCTGTCATATACAAAAATTAGCACCTATAAACATTCTTCTGTTTCTTTTTCCCACTTAACATATCCTGGAGAAAACTCCACAGCAGTACACAAAAACATCCCTAATATTTTTATAATATTTGATCCTTTTTATAGATAGCTGCTCGGATTGTAGGAACACAATTTAATCAACTAGCCCCCCTCGTTATTAGATACCTGAGATGATTCTAGACTTCTGCTAAAATAATCAGAAGGCATACTTTTAACTGGACAATGAAGACTCAGAAGAAATTCTGATATTTTATGTCTTATCTGTTTAACTTTAATGTGAGGGAGCCTTTCTTAAAAAAAAAAAAAAAAAATAGAAGCCTAGAAATCATAAGATAATAAATGGGGAAAATTTGACTACACGCAAATTATTAATGTCTGTATAGAAAGAAAAACTTAAATGAAGTGGAAGACAATAAAAAGAAATCTTAGAACTCATGATAAAGAGTTAGTCTTCCTAACTCGAAAATACAATTGTTACTGCTAAAGAGCTCCAGTTAGACACAACAGAATGAACACATATTCACATCTGCTCCCTTTATAAATACCAAAATTTAAAAGTACAAGAATTTTTCAGAAGGCATAAAAGCCCCCAAAGACAAGGACAATGGAAGGGATGTGATAGGAAAATTTTGGAACCTGGAAGGCAAAATAACAAGGAGTAGTAATTCAGGACATAGAAAGTCTCAATTACCAGTCAGAAAATGAAAAACACCATCAACCTGATTTGTTTCATAGACCCTCTCATTTAAAAAAACTCAGAAATCGCTGGTACCAAATATCTCTGGATTGGGGGGTAAAAGTGGGATGAAAACAGAATAGCTTCCTGTAAGTCGGTTTAAGGAGTCTGACTTCCAGATTTCCCTCCATATTTCAGGCAGCCAGTCCAGTGTGATTCTTGGCAGGCAGAGCTCAAGAAACAAGAGGGGCCGGGCTCGGTGGCTCAGCCTGTAATCCCAGCGCTTTGGGAGGTCGAGGTGAGCGAATTGCCTGAGTCTGCGGGTTCAAGACCCGCCTGGGCAACTAGGCAAGCCCTCATCTCTACAATAAATCAAAAAATTAGCCAGGCGTGGTAGTGTGCACCTGTAGTTCCAGCTTCTCGGAAGGCTGAGGCGGAAGGATCACCGGAGCCCAGGAGGCAAGGCTGCAGTGGCCGGGAGCGGCCACTGCACTCCAGTCTGAATGACAGAGTAAGACTCCAACTCAAAAAAAAAAAAAAAAAGAAAAGAAAAGAAACAAGAGAGTGGAGGGTCCCACAGGGTTAGGTCAAACTTTACAGACCAAAGCTTGAGGCCCATCACCATTTCCATCCAGCTTTCCTCTCCCACCAGGCTTGCACTTTTCAGGCAGCAAACTCTAAGAGGCTTCT